TAATTTTGAAAGTGCATCCGCCTGGTTGTTTTCTAATCTCGGCACTTGAATCAGATGAAAATCTTCAAGGGAACCGACTGCCTGTCGTACCGCCTGTAAATACTTGATCATGGCCGGATGGGTTGCTTCGTATTCGCCATTAAACTGACTCACTATCAATTGTGAATCGGAAACGTTTATCTTTCGTGCCCCTGCCGCCTTGCACATGCGAATTCCGGCTAGTAAAGCTTCATATTCTGCCTCATTGTTTGAGGCCTGAAAACTGAAGCGTAGAGCATATTCGTACCTGTCGCCTTCTGGCAACTGACATATGACGCCTGCTCCACAACCATTTGAAGTAGAGCTTCCATCCACATATACCTTCCAGACTTGGTCTGGATCTCGAGAATCAGGGGGACGAGTCATCTCAACAATAAAGTCAGCAAAGGCTTGCCCCTTCACTGCTTTTCTAGGCTCGAAAGTAACTTCGAGGCTCTGTATTTCTATGGCCCATTTGATCATCCGGCCTGACGACTCCATGGTGGTCAGTGGCCGCTTGATAGGTTGATCTGTATACACGACGACTGCATGTGCCAAAAAGTAGGGCTTCAATTTTTTAACAGCCATGAAGAGTGCAAGACCAAATTTCTCCACTAAGGGATACCTCAACTCGGCATTTTTCAATACATGACTGACAAAGTAGACCGGGAGCTGAAAACCGTCTCTTTCAGCAAGAAGAACAGCGCTTAACGCATGATCAGAGACGGCCAGGTACATGTAGAGTACTTCTTTGGGCAAAGGGCTGACCAGCCTTGGAAAGGAATGCAAGTGAACTTTCAATTTCTGGAAGGCCGCCTCAGCATCCGGCCCCCATTCAAACCTTGCCTTCTTCTTAATGGCCTGGAAGAAGTATAAGCATTTGTCGCCTAATCGGCTTAGAAATCTTCCCAAGGCCGCCAGACAACCTGTTAACTTCTGAACCTCTCGGACGGTACGAGGCAACTGCATGTCGATGACCGCCTGCACCTTCTCAGGGTTCGCCTCTATTCCTCTCTGATTGATAAGGAATCCGAGAAATTTCCCAGACTTAACTCCAAATACACATTTCTTGGGATTGAGCATGACATGGTGCCGCCTGAGTGTGGCGAAAGTTTCTCGGAGGTCCGACAGATGATCTGTATGAAGCTTAGACTTGACAATCATATCATCAATGTATGCCTCGACGTTTCTCCCGATTTGATCAAAGAACACAGTGTTTATCATTCGCTGGAAGGTGGTCGGGGCATTCTTAAGACCGAACGGCATAACCGTGTAACAGTATAACCCTTGATCAGTGACGAAGGCCGTCTTCTCCTGATCTTTCTTCCATAAAGGAATTTGATGGAAACCAGAGTAGGCGTCCATAAAGCTCATTAAAGCATGGCCGGCTGTTGAGTCGACCAGGTTATCAATTTTAGGCAGAGGGTAACTGTCTTTGGGGCATGCTTTGTTTAAGTCTGTGTAGTCTACACACATTCGCCAGGTGCCATTCGGCTTTTTAACAAGCACCACATTTGCAATCCAGTCTGGGAAGTAACATTGCCGAATGAACCCTGCATCAAGCAGTTTTTTGACTTCGGCGGCTGCCGCCTGACTTCTTTCTTCGCCATGGTTCCGCTTTTTCTGCCTTACCGGCTTCTTTTTCGGATCCACAACCAGTTTATGTACCGCCAGCTCAGGACTAATGCCTGGCATTTCGTGGACTTCGAATGCAAAGATGTCCTTGTATTCTTTCAATAGTTTGTGAAAATCGTCACCCAGGACTTTCAGAGCAGTCGTCCCAACTTTGACTGTTCGGTCAGGACGTGAGTCATCTAAGATCAGGTCCGTATGCTCACCAGCCAGCTGAGGGCGGAATTCGTCCGACCGCTCCTCTGCCAATGATTGCTATTTTTTGTCTTTTCTTGCGGCCCCCGTCTGGGCAGCCTTTCTCTTCTTGCCGCTTGCTTCTTGAACAGGCGCACTCTCCTTGACATTGTCAAGGTCTATTTCTCCACCACTTGATCTAGCGGTCATAACAGTGGGCTTGATATCCGAGAGATAGCACTCTCGGGCCATCCTCTGATCTCCCCTTAGGGACCCGACTATTCCATTATCCCTCTCACACTTGAGCAACATAAGAGATGGGATTATAACAGCCTTGGAATTATTCAGGGTTGGTCGTCCCAGAATCATGTTGTAGGCCGAGAGTTCTTCTACTACCAGAAACCGGACTACCATGTGTCGTCCTTCCCCTTTTTCACCCAGGCGGATGGGTAAATCCACTCGTCCCACTAGGTGGACGACTCCTCCTCCAAACCCTACTAAAGGGTGGGATGCCGGATGTATGCAATCAGTCTGATATTTTAATTTTGACAAACATTTGCTACTGATTAGATCTGAGGAGCTTCCAGTATCTATAAGGATTCGGCCAACTCTCTGGTTGGCCACTTTACACTCAATAACGATAGGGTCGTCATGCGGCCCCCTTACCCCTCCTAGATCTTCTTCAGTGATGACAATCTCAGGAAATGAATATTTGGAGGGCCGTTCTTGGTGAACGGAATTTACATCTAACCACCTGATATTGTCTTTGTTGCCCCTAATAGTGGGACCGCCTCCTGCGAAGCCGCCTGCAATGGTGTAGACGACTGCATCATCTGTATCAGAGTTGTCGGCCTGTTGACTCTTTTTGGCCGACTGCTTTTTCAAGGAAGTGTTCCCCGTGGATTTCTTGACATAAGAGTCAAGATCGCCTTGCTCAGCCAGGCGGTCCAGATACCGCATGAGACTGATGCATTCGTTGGTGTGATGACCAACATCTTCATGATAGTCACAAAATTTTTCTTGGTTCCGGATGCTTGCAGAACCCTTCATGGGGACCGGCTTCTCAATTGAGATCCGTCCCTTGATTTCCTTTAGGATAGCTTGGCTATCCTTGTTAAACGCATACTTCGGGGAGTATGGTTTGAATTCTTTTTTCTTCTTCTGGGCCGGCTGTTTAGAGGAATCAGCCGCCCAGACCTCTTTTCTTTTCTTCTCATCTTTGTTCGACAACTGTTTCTGTCGCCCTTCTTTTTTGTCAAACCTTTTCCCGTCCGACTGTTTTGTACTACAAAGATCAGTCGCTTGTATATAGGCTTCCGCTTCAATCAAGGCCTCTTGAAGGGTCGCCACCCTCTTTCGGACCAAATCAAATTTGAATGTCGATCCGTCTTTGAGGCCTCTGAAAAAGTCAGTATAGGCTACCTCATCCGGTAACCCTTGAATCTGTATTCTCATCAGGTTAAACCGCCTGATGTAAGAACGAAGCCCCTCCTTCTCGCCCTGCTGAATCGTTCCTAAATCAAGGGTCGTCTTCTTTGCAGGTATGTTCATGGCAAAGTTGGAGGTGAATAAGTAAGCAAGCGTCCTGAAGTTATTCACACAACCAGTCGGTAGGTGGTCAAACCATTGTTGTGCGATTCCTTTGAGAGTCGCTGGGAAACACTTGCACCAAGTGGGATCATCCAACCCTTGAAGGTACATCAGGTTGGTGAATGCCATCAAATTGTCTTCTGGGTTAGTAGTGTCGTCATAGGCGCCTACTAATATATTTTTCACTTTGGTCGGCTGAGCGGCTTCAGCAATTTCCTTGGAGAAGGCCGACGGCTGTTCCCTAAGTCTAAGCAAGTGTAGCTGCCAGTCCATAGGTTGGACATTCTTTGCTGCATGCCCACCAAACAGTGGTGGCTGCAAAAAATATTTTGTTGCGGTACAAATGGTAAGTTTGGTACCGCTTGGTCACTATGAAAGCCGGACTGACGGGAGGTACCGCCTGACTGACTCTCATGATGCGACTGAGTATGCCCCATCAAGGTATTGCGCAGACTGTCTTGGAAGTTTGAAGTAGAGGCCGACTTTGACAATCGGTCATTCTTTTTCTGCTCTAGCAATAGCCGAGCATCTGTGTATGTTTTCTTCAACCCGTCCGCCTGAATATGACAAACAGGTTTCCTCTTTCCTGGAGTTGGAAAGCGGTACTTTGTGAAATCAAGGGCAGGCGGCTCCCACTTCCTAGAGTTAGGATGAGGGGTCGCCTCTCGCCCTTGAACTGGCTTCTTCTTCCCTGAAGTGGAAGGCTTCTTAGCCGACTGTTCCTTGGCCAGAGCAGGCTTCTTGTTGAGCAACTATTGCATCTCTCCCTTGAAGCCCCTCATGAAGGTCATGAGTTCGTTCCTTGTAATGGGAGCAGACCCATCAGCCGGCTGCTGCTGAACAGGCAGTGCGCCTGCTGGATCACTGAGTCCAGTTTGAAGATGTTCCCGTTCCCTCCTTTCGGTATGACGGGTGCGTCGGGCCCTTAGGGTCCCGTCTGAGGCTGTGTGAGCTTCAACTTCAAATTCATTCTCAGTATCGTGGTCCGACTGAACTTGAGGGTCGTCTAGGGGACGCCTCTCTTCAGGAGTCGGTACAGACGTGGATGCCATCTCAGAAGTACTCTCCCCATAGACGGCGCCAAAATGTTTGGGGGTTTTCTGATGTCCTGCGGGAGAGTATCAATTCCGAGACTGGAACTGGACGCCTGTACCTGCAAAACAAACGAATGCTCCGGATGATTGGAGATCCGCCTCCGACGGTCAAGTTAGTACTTGATTAAGGAGTAATTAATGCGGAAATTAAAGTGATTGGGTCTCTCTAGGTGAGAGTGTTTAATGTGTGTAATCTCCCTTAATGAGGATTAAGGGAGGTATTTATAACCTTGGGAAACGTGCCAATCCTAGGTTTAGGTTAACCTAGGGCTGATTGGGCTTCCCTCGGAAGTTGGGCCTGGGTGGCCGGTTTCTCCATTAGGCATGGAGTATGCCACGTGTCATGACTTAATAGGTCCAGGGTGGACGAATAAGCGTGTGCCACATGGCAAGCCCTGACAGTTCCAACTGGGGGACACTTGGCAGGACCTGATTGGCCCACGTGGCGCATTCCGATTGGTGGGAGCAAAATCCCCTAATCACAAAGTATACCTTGAATTCATCAGAAGTGCAGATTTGAACAAAGGTATCCCAATCCGATTCATGTATAAAAGGATACTTGTGTGGTGGCTTTTGACGAAGTGTTTTATCTTTTTTATACAACCACTTGGTTCTTAATCTAGTCTTGAAAGCTTTCCATCGAATCGATGCTCGTGATAGTACATAACCTTTGCGATTCTCAGGAACATAAAACCCCTTCTATGTTCATTCAAAACCAATATAAAAGTTAGTACACACACACCAAAAAAAAAAAAAACTTAAATATTAAAAGATTTTGCCATTCGAATACAAGATTAGTATATCTTACCGATATAAATCCATAAACTTCATCTAACACTCCTGTTGGAACTTCATTCCAATCTTTGTAGGAAATGCTTATTCTTTCACGTGCCATTACACCGATGTAGGTGGAAAAATGAGTCTTGTGTTCACCTGTGGGAATTCTTTTACTTGGATGCCATTGCAATGGGATTTGGGTGCCAGCATGGATAGTCTTCCCCACCTTCTTAAGTACAGTACGACCTCTCTCCTCACAACTTGACTCTTCAGAATCATCATTCGGTTGTACTTTCTTATTCTTTCTGGCCATGTACCTACATAAATTCGACAAGTTAAATTCACTTTGTTAGTTATATAAAAGAATACAACCTATCATTAAATTACTTTGAGTAAAAGATAGCTAGTATGGTACGTAAGAGTATATGATCTGAAAAATCATGCATAACCCTACTAAATTCTAAGTTATTAGTATTCAAGAGGAAACATTCTTTTTTGTAATAAAAGTAGATATCTAAAAGCAAAATTCACCTTGATTTCCTTAAGAGTTTTTATGACTACGCTTTCGCTTTCGCTTTACTTTATTATTGTTAACATTATCTTCCCACAAACCTTCATTGTGGTCATCTCTTGCGTAGATCGAAGAATCATCAGCTACATCATCATCAACTAGTCCCTTTTCCAACAACGAACTACCTTCCAAAACACTATCATCGCCCCAATCATCTATGACATGTTGCGGTCTCGGTGTAATAACAGCTGACATTCTCTTATTTGATGGATCGGTCATATAAAACACTTGTTTAGCTTGACTAGATAAAATGAAAGGATCTTCCTTGTGACCAATCTTATTAAGATTAACAAAAGTCATTCCAAGGCTACTGTGATCAACCCCGTTGTTATTATCAACCCATTGACATTTGAAAAATGGAATTGAAAAGTTAGAGTAATGCAACTCACAAATCTCTTCAATAAATCCATAGTAGCGCATTGTGCCAGAAACAGGATGCTTGTCTTTTGCACTAGCAAAATGAATAGCTTCAGCCTCTAAAGTAACCCCACTATTTTGCATTGTACTATTATCATCTTGCAACCTTGTGTGAAATGTGAAACCATTGATAACATAACCTGAATAGTAAGTAGCGTTGAAATTAGGTCCATATGCCAAACTCTTAAGTCGATCAGAAATAGAACTTGGAGAATCCTGAAGCTCCCTGAAAACTTGATCTTTGAACCACCTAATGAACGATCTATTGTGTTCATCAGCTATTGATTTCTCATTTGCCCTTCTATTGTGTTTCCTCAAGTCTCTCATGTGTTTTTGAATATATGGCATCACCTCATCCTCATTGTGAAGAATATACGAATGGGCCTTATGCCAATCGTCATACGACATGTCAAGTTGTTTGCGCCCTAGGGTCCCTTGACCACCCATTCTTCCCATATGTCGAGAAACAGGAAGCCCTATCTTCATTGAATTTGATATAAATTCACTAGTATATGCAAGAACTTCTTCATAAAAAATTCGTTCAGCTATACAACCTTCTGGGTGAAAAGGGTTCTTGACATAACCGCCATATGTTTTCATTTGCCTTTCAAAAGGCCACTGATTTCTCAAGTACACAGGCCCACAAAATCGCACCTCTCTTACCAAGTGAACTGGTAAATGAATCATGACATCAAAAAACGATGGTGGAAAGTACATTTCTAACTGGCACAAAGTTACAACGATTCCATCTTCCAATGGAGTCAACTCTTTTGGATCAAAGACCTTGCTATAAATTGCATTAAAAAATAAACAAAGTTTGGTTATGACAAATCGAACATTTTTAGGCAAAATTGAATGAATAGCCACTGGTAACAGATGTTGCATTAGAACATGGCAATCATGAAATTTAAGGCCCACAAGTTTCAAGTTTTCCATATTCACAAGGTTGCGAATATTTGAAGAATAACCCTCTGGCACTTTTACACCAGCCAAGCTCTCACAAAATTCAATTTTCTCTTTTCTTGACAATGTGTAAGCTGCTGGAGGTAGGTATGCTCGACCTTTGTCATTAACAACAGCATGGAGTTCACTTCTAATCCCCATGGTCTGTAAGTCATCTCTAGCTTTCGTGCCATCTTTAGTCTTCCCATGAATATTCAATAAAGTACCAATCAAACTATCACACACATTCTTTTCAATATGCATCACGTCAAGCAAATGTCTCACAAAAAGGAATCTCCAATAAGGTAGGCGCCATAAATATGAACACTTCTTAAAGCCTTGCGTAGGAAGAGAAGACCTATGTTTTTTCCCATAGGTAATTTGAATATCTTTAACCTTTTCGTACACCTCTTCACTTGATAGAACTCTTAGGCGATCTTTAAAATCTTGTTTTCCATTAAAGGTATTTTTCCTTTTACGAAATGGATGACTCGATGGAAGATATTGCCGATGTAAAGGGAACACATGCTTGCGTGATGCGCTCAACCATTCTCCCCCGCAATCCTCCATGCTTATGGGACAAGGTGCTTTCCCTTTCACGGTATACCTAGAAAGATTACCGTAAGCAGGAAAATCTTGGATGGTGTTAAACAACATTGCTTTCATGATAAAGTTCTCATTACAATGTGCATCAAACACCTATATACCATCCTCCCAAAGAATAATCAAATCATCAATGAGAGGTTCCAAATACACATCAATGTCATTGCCAGGTTGTTTAGGCCCAGAAATTAGCAATGCTAAAAACATATAACGTGGTTTCATGCACAACGAAGGGGGTAAGTTCTAAGTAGCCAATATAACGGGCCATGTACTATATGTGCTACTCAAGTTCCCAAATGGATTGAACCCATCAGTAGACAATGCAAGCCTTTGATTACGCTACTCTTTTGCAAAGTCCGGGTATTTTCCATCAATAAACCTCCATTGTGGAGAATCGGCGGGGTTTCTAAGCATTCCATCATCTAATCGACCATAATGATGCCATGTTAATTTCTCTGCATACCCTGCATTTGAGAACAACCGCCTAAACCGTGGTATTATTGGAAAATACCATAATACCTTAGCTGGGACTGTGCCATCATCTTTCTTATAACGCGAGGCATTACAAATTGAGAAGCTCTGTAAAGATTCATTTTCATTTCGATACAACATGCAATTGTTAGGACACGCATGGATTTTCTCGTAAGGTAAACCCATAGAGCTTAAACTCTTTTTTGCCTCATAAGTACCTGATGGAAGGACATTGTCTTCTGGAAGCATGTATTTGACAACTTCTAGTAGCATGCTGAAGCTTGTATCAGTCCAACCATGACCTGCCTTCAAGTTGTATAACTTGATTATCGCAGACAATCTAGTATACTTAGTGCAACCATCATACAAAGGCTTTTCAGAGTCATTTAAAATGTTCTCAAACATGGTACGATTATCATCAAAGTTATCCTTCACTGAATGCAACAAATCTTCCAAATTATCAGCCTCATTTATTCTATCACCTTCACACCCACTACCCTCTACATTACTAACAAGAGGTTTTTCCCTACATTCTCCATGCCAAATCCAATTGGTATATGTTTTATCAAATGCCCACTTACTCAAGTGATTGAGTATTTCGTCTGGCCTCTTAAGCAGCAAATTGTGGCACATATAACAAGGACATGGTAGCTTGGGACGACCTCCACTATTAGTAACTGCAAAATTAATGAACTCTCTAACACCTGCTCGATATTCTGGGTCACCCGGTTGTTTTGTTGATATCCAACTTCGATCCATTCTATATGCACCAATAGCAATTCAAGACTAATTCATAATAATCATAATAATTTCGAAAGAGATAATGTCTTCACATATATGTACATGTAAGTCTTGGATCCTTATCACTCCAACCTAACTTGAATTGTTTAATAAATCTCACTAGTGAATGCATACTCACTTATCACTTAAAAAAAAAAATTGGTGGCATTTCCTTAGAGTTCTCCGCATACACTATGTTGATTACTATTAGTATCAATATATTTAACCGAATAATGTGTAAATCCTAAATGACTAGGTCAATTATAATAAAGACACTAATGTTTCAGATTAATTGCATTCCTACAATATAAAGATTCATGAGGAACAACAAAAAGAGATGTGTGGCAGTGAACATAAAAATAGTAGCATCCTTGTAATGTATGTAAGGGGGTGACAAAGATATTAAATTAGAGAATACAACAAATATTTTACTAGATTAAACAAAATATTTTTATCAACCGAAATACGACAAAACCGAACTTTTCACGGGAAAATCAAATTTGAAACCATAACCCAAACAACCACCATATATGCAAGAAGAATCTTTACACCTATAAACTAAACATGAATCATCTGAATTTAAATATCATATCAATTTAGAACATTGTATTCAATTAGAGAATAATAAAAAGAAACATAAAATCCATTTACAGTACAATACACTTTAAAAGCAAGACAAGTTAGTATATATATACGACATATAAAAATTGAAACTAATGAGTAGTATAGGTTTAATTAAGAAATCAATTTTAACCTTAGTATCAATTATTTGTCTGGGTAAGGAAGGTGAATGAAAAATACCTTAAAAAGAATAAGGGGTTTATGGTTGTGGCGGGAAATCGATCAAAGTAGTGCAATTCCTTGTATTATGGCTGAAAATTGAAAAATATTTATCATTAATTGATAGTTAACAATGAAAGAAGAACGAAATTGTGGTTGGGAGACGAGGCCCGGAAATCGAACGGCTTACCTCGTACAATCGCCTGAACAAACGGAGTGGTTGATAGTCGTGGCCCGAGTACTCTTCAGATGGTGGTGGCTTTGTAAACTTCACGATAGTGACGGCCTTACAAAGTAAATGATGGTGAACACAATCTTGAAAATGACCGCCTCTAATAAGGTAGTGAAAAACTTGGGAAGGAAGCCATGGAATTTCAAGGGTTTGGATTATTGGAGGAAGAAGATGAAACTATGAACTGCTACTACCAAGTAGAAACCCCTTTTAGCCCCTTAGTTTAATTTTTTATTTTTTTAATGAGGATGTGTTAGTCTAAAACTCTAAGTTAGTAGTATAGTACACGTTTCCTCAAGTTAGTAGTACACGTGAAGTAGTCTTAACTTTTTTTTTATTTTTTTTAATAAAAAAAAATTACTTAATATTTTTTTTTTTTTGAAGAAAACACAATATTTCTTTTTTGCTTCTTAGTTATTTGATACTAGTGTATGTACACGTGATACTAGGATATAAGTAATCATAAAAAAAATTTAGATTAAAAAAATAATAAAAATAAAGAGACCTGTTAACACTAACAATAGGTCTCTTTGTTTTTTTCCCGCCAACAAATCGCTCTTTAGAGACCTGTTATCAATGACAACAGGTCTTTTTGACCAAAGAGACCTGTTAAGTCTTGTAACAAGTCTCTTTAGATAGATCCCTTTTCCCATATTTGTAGTAGTGAGTGCTCTTCGGGGTACTTGAAGCTGACCCAATGTTTCCCTTCTTCTGGTTAGGCGCCCGCTCTGAGGAGTAATCCATCAGCCTTTTAGCTGCCGCTATAGCACCTGACAATGTATCAATTTTCTAGCGCCACATCTCCCTTTGGGCCCAATCCTTTAGACCTCGCACGAAGTTGAATAGTCGGTCTTTCTCTAACATGTCATGAATCTCCAACATGCACGCAGAGTATTCCTTCACATACTTCCAAATAGAGTTTTTGTGTTACAAGCTTGCCAGCTTGGTACGGGCCACATATGAACTCCTTCTTTAGAACCTCCCAAGTATCTACCGATGTCCTTTTTGCTTATATGTTGGCATACTTGGTTCGCCACAAGAGTTTTGCATCATCCACTAAGTACATCGTGGCCGTGTCGATCTAAAGATCATCTTCCAATTGACATATACGGAAGTATTGTTCCATATCAAAGATGAAGTTATCAACTTCCTTTGAGTCTCTCGTGCCATTAAAGGTCTGAGGTTTAGGAGGTTTTATCTTACTTCCACTTCATCCTCTTTGGGCACGCATGAAGGTAGCACATTTGTCTTGAGCTTTCCTTGAACGAAATTTAGCTGCTCCGTCAACCCATTCACCGTTGACTCAAGCTTTTCTATTTGCTCAGCTTGCTTTATTACTATATCTTTGAGCTTGGGTACTATTTTTTCGAGTACTGCCCAAAATTCTGACTTGCCTTCGATCCAGGCAATTTTTTCTTCCCACGTATCGCCATGTTCAGGCATCACCATGCTGGGCGACTTTTAGAACGAGCCTCGGCTCTAATACCAATTGTCATTATCTGAGTGTTCTAACACCGGATCGTGCGACACACTCTTGTCTATTGGCAACAATGACGCAAGCCTAGAACGAGAGAGGTTCTTGAGCACACAACAAAATGGACCAAAGGTATCTCAAGAAAGCACATGTCAACAACGGGTGCGGAGTCGGGGCTTGTGACGGTCGATACTTCAAAGCGGGCACAAGCGGAACCAACGAGATGAAGATGTCTTTTGAGGATCTCTTGGTTTGGTGGGGATGCTTTAAAACAAGGCAAGCACAATATCTATAAAGGCTTAAAACAACACACAAGTTTTAAAGCAATAGTGATAAGTGTTTTATTTGTCCACTTAACATGGCACTTTAAACACGTTTTTGTACTCTTTCCCCTACTTTAATCCCTTTTTCTAACTCTTTTTGTGCGCATCTATAGCTTTTGGCCTCCTCGATCCTTTTTATGTGTGTGTTTGTGTTTGTAAATGTAAGGAGAAATTGGTCAAATAGCATGAATATGAAGTATATTGGAAGCAAAGCATAAGAGGAGAGGGCGAGCAACCCCTAAGGAGAGAGCGCTCCTCCTGATCTCCTCCAATCTGCCTTAGACATGTTATTAGAGGAGCGGGCGCACACCTAAGTAGGAGTGAGCGCTCCTCCCTAAATTCCAACATTTTTCCATCCTCTGCATTACTAGGAGCGGGCGCGCAGCCTTTAAGGAGCGGGCGCTCCTAACTGAATTCCAGTATTCTGGCTTCGATGTTGCAGACAAGAGGGGGTGCACAGAGAGACAAGGAACGGGCGCTCCTACTGTTCTGAACCCGATTTTTTTACGGACTTTACAATGTGATTTTTGGGGCATATAAATAGGGTGCTTGACTTCAGTTTTTTGGGCTTCTTCCCTTTAGTCTTCTTAGTCTCTTAATATCTTTAAAACTCTCATTAATTAGCTTAGATCTTCTCAAACTCAATATTTGAAAGAATTATTGGAAATTTGTTCCATCAATTTCAACATTTTCTCAACGTTGAAGCTTATTAAGTAATATCTTTCTCTCTCCTTTGCTATTTAATTTTCTAATTTTATCTTTGATTAATCTTAGGTCTTGCTTAATCTTTGTTAATTGTTCTTGCATTCTTAATCATCCTTGTGTAATCTCTCTTCTAGTTTAATTGAATTCATGTGAGCCCTAGATTTAATTGTTAGGTTGCTTTCCACCATGTTTAGTGAGTAGTTTCTTAGATAGGGATTGGGTGGAAACCCAACCAAGCTATGGTTGATTGAACTGGATTTATTCATGTTCTACCTTGGATTTTTAGTTTTTTGTGCTTGAATTAATACATGTGTATTTTGATGGCCACTTTATACTCCTGTGTTCATCCCTCTTCTCACATCGAAAGATGGGGATTTGGAGTGAGTCCTTTCTTGTGCAATTAGATTATGCTACCTTCAAGACTATGGATGTTTGGTTTCATTTTGTAGGATGACTTAGTTTGGTAATTAGGTGAGAAATCTCAATTATTTTTGCTTCATGCTAGTTCGGAATGATCGAGGGACAAACTCGAGCTAGAAACCCACTTCCTATCCTTGATGCTTAATCCTTGTTATTTTGGTGCCTAATCTAGGAAATACTTATGTTGTAATTTTGAAAGAAGACAATGTTAAGTTCCTATTTTATCTTCCATATGCGCTCATGATTTATCCTTGTTATTGATTCTTTGGTTTGGTTGGTGTTGAATCTCGTTTCCCCTAGCGTTCCTTTATACAGTAGTTAACTAATAAAAACCTTATTTGTGACTGAATTAGCTTACAACCGTTTCATATTCTTGGTGTTCTTTAACCATTCCCTGTGGATACGATCCTCACTTGCCCTAGAGTCTTAGGTTGGTTTAGGTAGAAATATTGTTTTGGTTTAGGGTGATAGTCCAACAACCGATTTATTCCTCTACCAAATAGCAACGGGGTAGGAAGCTTTGATTCATTAATTAACCGTCACTCCCTAAAGAGTTTTATATTAAATAAGGAGATAATTACAAGTGAACGCTGAAATGACAGTAACACAATAATTCTCCCTAGAACCTAGAAAGAAAAAAAATAAAGACTTAAAAGATACTACTTAAGGGAAAATACAAGGAAAAGGGAAGGGGATATATAGAGAAAGAGGCGGATTCTAACATCAGGGTCCCTACCCCGTTGCTATTACTTTAAGACTTGTGTGTTGTATTAAGCCTTTATAGATATTTTGTTTGCCTTGTTTTAGAGCATCCACACCAAACCAAGAGACCCTCAAAGACTCCTTCATCTCGTCGGTTCCGCTTGTGCCCGCTTCAAAGTATCGGCCGTCACAAGCCCCGACTCCGCACCCGTTGTTAACGTGTGCTTTCTTGGATACCTTTGGTACGTGTTGCTGTGTGCTCACGAACCTCTCTCCTTCTAATCTTGTGTCATTGTCACCAATAGACAAGAGCGCGCCGCACGATCTAGTGTTAGAACACTCGGACCGTGACAATTGGCTTAATGAGAAATTGCAACCTTGCATACAAAAATAAAAACCTTTAGATAAGTTTTTCTTGGAAGGCTTTTATCAAATTTGAACCTTACAATGAAGATAAATTATTAACTATTTTGATTTTTAAAGCAAAATTACAACCTTGCATATGGATGATTAAATAAACCTCCAAAAATAAAACCAATAGTTAAAGTTTGCTTGAGAGGTTGAAAATTTTACAAAGAGAAGATTTAATTAGAAGATGCTTTAGGAAAAAAAATATATACTTATACGAATCGATCATGCGATCAAATTGCAATAAGGTTACTCTAAATACTTGGGTTCAACCACTATAATATTCACCAATATTAAAATTATATTGTAGTGTATTTTATATATAAATATATATATATATATATATACATATATCGGAGGCCCTTTTAATTTTTGGGCCCTATGCTACGGCCCACCTTGCACACCTTCTTAGATGACCCTTCTTATTCTGTTGGAGAATTCCCACAACCACCCCTTGTTAATGAACATTTATCGAGTTGTGGAGGAGTTCTAATCCTGCTGTTTTAGCTCCATTCATTAACCCAGAAGCACCTCGAAGGTAATCACAGTACATTCGTTTGTTTAATTTATCTTGTTGATGTACATATATATATACACACTATTGTATTAGTTGTACAAATTTTAATATCACGTTGCCTCATTAATGCCTAAACATGCTTAACAATGCTAGTTGGAAGGTTCAAGTTTCACATGTGCACAGAGAAGGCAATCGAAGGGCGGATTGGTTGCCTGATCGCGAGGTTTCCGAAGACGATCGTCTCAACATTTATGATGTTGTTCCTATAGATCTTGGTAGAGTCTTAGAGGAGGATCCTTGGAGCATGGCTTTCCACAGCTTGTCCCTCCTTAAGTAGTTTTTAATTTTTGTGTTGTTTGATTTGGTTTACTACGTATTTGCTTTCTTTTGTTTTTTTGTTTTTCCTTGGAACTCTTTTCCTCATTTGAATAAAAAATTGTCTTATTAAGGATATTATGGAAAATTCGAATAAAAAGTTTATGCAAGTGAATTACAAACCTCAAACATTAAGCAAACGTTAATACATGGCGTAGCGCGAGAGTTGATGAAGCAATGTGTAATGGAGATTGGAATCTTCGGTTTCCAAATGCATCAGTTAATGATAAATTAGAGAGAAAATAGAAGAGATTGACTTGAATCTTATTGATGGCTTCAACCCCAATATATAAAATACAAGCTAACCCTAATTTGATAGGATTAGAAAACTACTAAAAATATATCTTAAAGATATTCTAGGCATAAAATATGGAACAAAATATATCCTAAAATATTCCCAAAAATATCCCCCAATAAGCCCCCCCCCCCAAGTTGGAGCATGTGGATCAAAGATGCCCAACTTGGAAAGGAGATGATTAAATTGAGTCTTCCCAAGCGCTTTAGTGAAAATATTCACCAATTGCTCCTTAGTGGAAACATAAGATGGAGC